CTTGGGCAACCCAAGTTTGGTCCATGCACAAAGCATCTTGGCCATTTGGGCTTGCCAAGTTGTACTGATGGGAGCCATTGAAGGTTACCGTGTTGCTGGTGGGCCTCTTGGTGAGGTTGTTGACCCACTTTACCCTGGTGGCAGTTTCGACCCATTGGGTCTTGCTGAAGACCCAGAGGCTTTTGCTGAGCTTAAGGTGAAGGAAATCAAGAATGGCAGACTTGCCATGTTCTCCATGTTTGGGTTCTTCGTTCAAGCTATAGTCACCGGAAAGGGTCCATTGGAGAACCTTGCCGACCACCTTGCAGACCCGGTTAACAACAATGCCTGGGCTTACGCCACAAACTTTGCTCCCGGAAAATGAAGTTCTTAAAAGATGTCACTTTTTTTTTAGATTATTTGATGGCCTTGTGAAGTTGTAAATGACTGGAGATTTTATGTGATTTTTTTTAACTGTGTAGTTCTTAGTTAAATTTTCCGTGCTTTCAATTAGCTAAGTACTAGTAAAAGGAGGGAACAAAGTCAAAAGTTCAAAGGTAATAAAACAAACATAATGGTAGTAACAAAGCAGGCTAAAAGTTCAAAGAACAATTTGCAGAGCAGAGGACATTGATATTGAAATTTAAAACAGAGGCCAATGATTTATTTAGGAACTTTTCTTCTTACATACATCTAAATTCTTGGAATGCTCTTCCTATTGGATACTGATGAGTCCTGAAAATCCAATCCTCAAGTCCTTCTGAACAAGCTTTTTCCAGTTTTCACCATTTTTCATATAGTAATGGCATGCAAGGGGCAGATCTGTGTCAGCGAGGAGTTCAATTGAACCTATAACTTTCGACGCGAGTAAGAATTTATAGTAGATATGAACTCATAACTTTAAAAATATAATAGGTTCAATACTAAAAATATTAAAAGTTGAACCCATAGAGTTTAAATCTTGGATCCACCTTTGCACGCAAGTTACTACCAAAAGTTATAATGGGGGGTTAAATATCTCTCCATCCTTAACCAGAGGATTTTAGTTTCGAGTCAAGAGAATAAAGCTACCTTTGACAGTTCCGATACGAATTTGAATTAATCGGACCGCAATGGAAATATTGTATACCCGATGGGAAACCCAAAAAAATACAAGTTGCTAGTACATAATTGCTAGATTCTTGTATATAAAATAGCCTATGGTTAAACTTTCACATACTTATCATTTAAGGGGGATGCACAAGGAAAGATGCAAGACCAAGTTGACATTACATGGATGAAAACAAAGTCAAATTGTGGTGACAATGTATTAGCCATTTTTTATTACTGTTCATGAGCAGTCAGAAATGTAAATTAATTTCTTAAAAAAACTAGGATGATGTGGTTGTCAAGACAGAAAAACTGCAGAACAGATTAAAAAATTTTGTGGCTAGCATTTGACATGTCTATATTAAAGGCAATGGTGTCCCGCTAATTTTCAAATCTTAAATCCGCACCTGCTTCTTTCCACGTTCCCGGAGAGCCACTAACTAATGCATTTATGCTATATATCAGAAAACAATACTAGTTTCCTGCATATAACTACATGGGCTAGAGTTCTGAGCCGAACGACTACCGGAAATAACCTCTCTACTTTCTCTAGGTAGGGATAAGAACTGCGTACACACTACCCTCTTCCGACCCCACATGTGAGATTTCACTGGCTTTGTTGTTGTTGTTGTTAACTACATGGGC